AAGCCTTAGAAGGAATTTTTTCATTTCCAATGTTTTTGGATGGCTTTATTATCATTAGATGAACAATGCTAAAAAATAAACAAATGATTTTTGAGTTTATAAAGGCTAAGATCTTGAAATTCACAAAATGAATGGTCTAAATTCATTTTTGGAGGGGACTCATTTTGACCATATCTAGGGTTCAAATTAAACTTTTGTTTTTTGGGGGATTGATTATTGAGATAAAGAGAGTGTGTGTGCAAAATTTGGGGTCATATAAATATCACAAACATGATTTTCTTGAAGTGTCGTTGCATTACACTATGATACAACTGTTGCATTGGATCATTGCTTTATATATATATATATATGAAAAAGTCTTCCCAACGCCTATAGGCGAAAATGAACAGTGATTTTGCCTATCCTCATCACCGTCCAAAATTCATCATACAATCACGATTCTCCAGTAGTGTTTCATTTTTCATTTTTTTTTTACAAATCGAAATGATCTGAAATTTGGAGCGTGTGTACATCTTGGTGAGATACACCTAATAAAAATATAAAAAAAAATAATTTGTGAAACTTGTTTTCACCAAAATACCCCCGAAACTTTTTGGGGGTATTTTGGTAATTATTTTTCATGTAAAATATTTTTTTAATATTTTTCGTTGATTCGCCTATTTTTATGAACAAACACTCTAAATTTCAGGTCATTCTGATTTATAGAAAAAAAATGAAAAATGAAACACTATCGGATAATCGTGACCATGCGATGAACTTTGGACGGTGATGAAGGTAGGCGAAATCACTATTCATTGTCGCTTATAGACGTTTTGTAGTATCTTCATATAGATATATATAATAAATAGACACTCATAACTAATATTAGAAATTGCTTAAAGAAAGAGTAACAATGATGAACCTCCCTTTACACACATACATTCTACATAATTATATGGGAATGGGAAATTTATGTAAATACCGATGAGAGATGAACTATTTAACGAACGTTCTACTAATATGGTTTGATTTAGTTCCAAACTACCTATCAAAATACACATGATGATGGGTTGGAATATTTGCAAATAGGTAAAATGTTGGATATTTCATTGCTTATGGGTGTTTTGATAAATTTTCCCTAATTATAGACCCGTATGTGGCACATCTTTTCAACTTTGATCTGGTTGTTGTATGGGGGAAGAAATTACATATGAGAAAGTGAGATAAAACTTATGTTTATCGTGAAAGATTGACCTGCATGCTATTTAATTTACATTGCTCGTCACACTAGAGTTAATCAGTTTTGATAAGATGGATGGCCAAAGTTGGTAGCACTCACGAATGGGCAATTATTGTACATGGCTGATATGGCATAATAATTGCAGTTTACACTTGACATTGATTATCTATGATACTTCTTACTTCCCTATAAACCTGGAAAATGAACGATCTCGTACTACGAAGTTCATCAGAAGATGCATCTTAATAGAACTAGGAAGATTGTTCCTAGTCAAAGTGATACCAAAAGTTCATGCTTTGTGCAATGAACTTCATCTGGTCCATGGATAGTAAGGTGCAGTGGTTCATTTCATGCACGTGAGTGCTGGTAAAGTAAAGTGGTCTCACCAAATGATGGCATGAGTGGTAGCTGAACATCTGAGTCTTAAGTTGACTTGTTAAGTAGAAGATTCTTTTGCTTTTTGAAGAATTTGAAAAAGAATTTTGAAAATGAGATACATACCTGGGGAACTCCTGAGTCTAAAAGTTGCTCACCAATGAGTTGGCGACTTAACCAAGGTTTGGAAAGGATCACACATGAGATTGAAATTTTCTTCTTTTTTTCAGAGTTACATCAAGGACGTGCAAAGATAAGTCTCAGCATTTTGCTAATTTTACCATAAGTTTATCAACTTTTACTTATTGCTTAAACATCATATTTTCACAACCCACTCACACGTCAATGGATTCATTGCTATTTGCAGCCAGACTATATCTGCGTTGATGGTGATGGAACAGTGCCGGTGGAATCAGCCATGGTATGTTTAGCACGTTGTACTAATGTTCTAAGTAAATAGACCATTGATGGGAACTATACTTAAAGTACTTGGCCGTCATGTAATTGATGAAATTAGTGGACATGATTTCAGACAGGAATGCAGTCTATAAAATATGAAGCTCAATAAGAATCCATTGTACTTAGGATTATCACCATCCGATGATATGGATGGTGGTGGAGAGAGCATCGATGGGATCATATCATGTATTTGTGGCTCCCTCTCTCCTTCCATCACTGTCTATTTCAATGGATGGGGATGACTATGGGCTCTAGGTTTTCTACACTCCCCAGGATTATGGTATACTTTCCTGTTACAATAGTTCGGACATGAGATCACTTTAGTGAATGGTTGAAATGATGCTTTTAAGATAATTTTCATTAGTTTTCCTGTAGTAATAGATAATTTGTGGCTGAGCATATTCATCGGTCAATTTCTGTTACGCTGTTACGGTGGTTGTAGTGAGTTCCACGCTTACTAATTTATCATATAATCTAGTATTTGGGGAGAAACGATAAAATCTGACTTGCTCCTGCACTACCTTATGCAGGCAGATGGGTTGAAGGCAGAGGCCAGGATAGCCGTTCCTGGTGATCACAGAGGACTGGTATGTGACCCTCACGTGTTCCGAATTATCAAGCATTATCTGAAGATAGGGTATCCAGACCCTTATTACAACCCTATAAATGATTATGTGATCTTGCCCACATCTACCGAGTATGCAAAGCTCGACGAAGATGGATTACAAATTACTGCTGTTAAAGAACATTGGGAGTTTATCTCAGGAGATGATGAAAATTCCAAGGATGCAACAAATGAAACAAGTATTCATGCTTCAGTTTCTGTCGGCCATGTTGGAAATGACCACTCAAGAGAAGAGGCGCATGCCACTGTCACTGTGCACCCACAAGATTCACAAGGGAAGAAGCATGTTGAAGTTAGAGCAATAGGCATGTCAGTTTGCTGATTAGTTTTAGCCTTTTCCCATTTGTGTTGCTGTATAATTATTTAGTATCACTTGAACTATCAAAGAAAAAAAAAACTGGATTTGTACATACATTTTTATCATGGATGCATGTAAATAACAAGTTCATAGTGAAATAGCCTCCTTAGATTGGATGACAGAGTCGGCCTTTTTCCTCCGTCGTACTTTAATAGCATATGTGCATCCATTTGTATCAGAATAGTCAGAGAACATTTGTTGTCTAGTTTTTTGATTTCTTGATGATACGATCTTTTGAGATATTAAGCTGTCTATTGCTGCTTTTCAAGACGGTCAAATAAACCTGTCCTGCACTTGGGATTGCCCCTGGATTTCTAAAGATGACAAAGTATACTAACTTCAGGTTATATATAGTCCGCACTCTTCCTAACTTCAGCTTATATATAGTCCGCACTCTTCCTACATGGATTCGTTAGGTGACCAGATGATGTTTGGTATTTAGTGTGCAGCGAATGGTACACTATCAACAAACCAAGAATATTTCATATTTTGGTCCATTTTCTTCATTTCCACTGTTTTTATTTCCCATTAATTTTATTCTCTTATTGCCTAGTTTATATATATATATATATAGAAGATGCTATGGTACACCGATTCGTGTACCGCTCCTACAGTATACGTCCAACAACCCAGATCGAATTTGGGTTAATCTGACGATCGCGAATGTTTGGTAGTGTGTGAAATTTTTTTTTTTTTTTTTTAATATAAATCCAAATCACTTGAAATTTTAGACGTGTGTTTTTCAAAAATAGGGTTATCTACGAAAAATATTAAAAAAATATTTTATATGAAATAAATTGATCAAAATACCTTTGAAATGTTTTGGGGCATTTTGATCAATTTTATATTTTCGAATTATTTTTTTATATTTTTATTAGATGCGTCTTGATGAGAAGAGCACACTTGAAATTTCAAGTTATTTTTATTTGTAGAAAAAACATTAAAATTCAAGCACTCTCGAACAATCGTGACCGTCAAATCGGTCCAGATTCGATCTGGGCCCTTGGACGTTTACAGAAGCGGTCTGCACATGGGCATACAATAACTTTTCCTATATATATATATATATATATATATATATAATCTCAGTTCAAGTCACTCATATAACATCATTGAAAAAGAACAATAGTTGAATCTGGATTATTTCCTATATTGCAATTTAATTTTTGAGACTAGGGGCTCTGATTTTACATGGTCCAACTACAATATAAGTCTGGGGTTATCCATGTGTCCCAGTAGTCGTTACCTGAAGAAACAGAAAGTTCCTAAACTGAAGATGCCCCCATCTTGCGTTCTTGCAAAATCTTTTTATTTAGATCTTTCATCTCTTGCGTCAATTGCTTCACGAGGATAAGGCAAACAACCATCGCACTACCTCTTTTGGACTTTGGAGGAGGATTCTGAAAGTTTATGATTGTTTATTGCACCCTGGTTCATTGAAAAACTGGAAATATACAATCACAAATGATACTGTTCTCTTGTGAAGCTTCTTGCACTATTACAACGAATGAACTTGAAGCAACCCTTGATCAGTGTCTAATTGCTCGACCTTGCAAGGAAGAACTTTTGTAAATTCACTTGCAGACCGAAGCAAAACTTAGATTTCTTGATTTGAGAACAGTTTCCTTGAGGTACATGCGTTGATGGTAGGCTTAAACACTCCACCCTGAATCTACCCCTCTGATCGGAGTCTTGAACAACAAGAATTAACACCAGTTCAAGAACCGTGGTATAGCAAATATTGGATAGCGATTGGCATGTGATTGGGAGTGGAAGTACCCTCCTATGGCTTCTAGGATCTGTTGATTTGTGTTTTATTGGATTTATATCGATGACGAGTGGTGGATGCTCCGGTGGTGCACAATTTATGTACCACCCCAAATGCTATGTATCTCCAAAGAAGTAATCCTGAGTTACATTTCAATCTTCTATCACCAATAATCCCTACATGAACACTTCCCGTCCTCAAAATGATGGAAGCGATTAGAATCCCTTAAGACAATTTGCCTCCCTACAATCTCTGATATGTATTTAAATGCCTTGTGGCAATCACCACAAACTCGAAGGTTTTTTATGATTCTGATAGTCTTTTCCGAAGAACGAGTAAGAACAAAAGCAATCGCCAACTTCTCACTGTGATAGCTTAGCAGCTCTTCCTTGCTCTCCATTTCAAGATCGTATAGTGCAAATTTGGTCTCGGGTACATAGCCAGCGGCCCTCATCTGTCTAGTAAGCATTTTTAGTTTTGCATAGATTTCATCAATATTGGGATGTGACATGTCACCTGATACGAATACGTGGATGCCATCTTTCATCACTACCCAGCTGCAACCAGGCTCCTTCTTTACTTGGTTTCCCCTCATCATGGCCCTAGTTTTTGCGACATCATCCCATCTCTCTCCTGATGCATACATATTGGATGCTAACACGTAGCTTACTGGGTCTTGGGGTTCCAATTCAATGAGCTTATTTGCAGCTTGGTTTCCTAGTATCGTATCACCATGAACCCTGCAAGCCCCTAGAAATGTCCTCCAAACCAGACTGCTAGGCTCCATGGGCATGCTCTTGATGAAGCCCTCTGCCTTTCTAAGCTCGCCCGCCCGACCAAAGAGATCCACCATGCATGCATAGTGCTCCACTCTAGGAGTTAACCCATATTTCTCTCTCATCAAATTGAAATACTCAAACCCCTGTTCGAGCAACCCACCATGGCTGCAAGCTGATAAGACCCCAACAAATGTGACATGATCAGGGCTTCTTCCAGGCTCTTGCTCAAACTTTTTGAACAGCTCTAATGCTTGTTCACCATGCCCATGTCGAGCATAGCCTGATATCATGGAATTCCATGAGAATTCATTCCGTAAAGACATCAGGTTGAACGCTTTCGAAGCATAGTCAATCCTTCCACACTTGGCATACATATCAAGGACCGAGCTTTCGACAACAACATCAAACCCTAGAGACGCCCTAATACAACTGGCATGAATTTGCATCCCTTGTTCTAATGCTGCAATTAATGCACAAGCACTTAGAGTTGAAGCATAGGTGAAGTGATCCATTCTTATTCCCTTCTGAATCATGGTCTGCAAAACCTCCATGGCCTTATCCACATGGCCGTTTTGCACATAGCCTACAATCATTGAATTCCATGATACCTCATCCCTAATGGACATCTCAGTAAAGAGATGCTCAGAGTCCTCCATTGCTCCGCTCTTTGAATAGGAAGAGAGAAGGGCATTCTCAATGGCATTATCCCCTTCCAAACCACATTTGATTACTAGTGCATGAACCTGGCTTTTGAGTTCGAGATTCGATAAAGATAGAGCAGTGAGAAGGTTTAGAACTGTAATCCTGTTCAAGAGACCACAGCCAGATTGCATCATTGAGCAGAAAAGTTGGAGTGCTTCTTTTGCATGCCCAGCATCTGCATATGCTCCAATCATAGCATTCCATGAAACTTGATCATGCTCAGTCATTGTGGCAAAAACCTTTTGAGAACCCTCTAGGTTTCCTGACCTTGCATACATGGTGAGAAGTGAGTTTGACACTGAAACATCCTCTTCTAAACCTAATTTAATAACATTGCAATGGATCTGTTCTCCTTGCTCAATAGAACCTAAGCTAGCACACGAGCTCAACGTGCTTACTACTGTGATATTTGATGGGTTCGCTCCCATTTTCTGCATCAAATAAATGGTCTTGAGAGCTTGTTCGTGGCACCCATTTTGGTCGAGCCCTGAAATCATGGCATTCCACGAAACCGCATCCTTCTCTTCCATGAGGTCAAAAACCCTCATGGCACGGTCAATCGCACCATGCTTGGCATACATATTTATAAGCCCATTCCAAGTGGAGATATCATAGTCCCAACCCATTCGGATAACATGGCAGTGAACCTCTTTCCCTTGTTTCATCCCTCCATCTATACAAGCACATGCACTAATGAGAATGAGAATTGAGTCAAGGTTCATGCGATTTTCAGCAGCCCTCATGACACAATAAAGCTTGATGGCTTCTCGGCCATGGTCACATTGGACGTAGCCCACCATCAACCCATTCACTGAGACAACATTCCTCTCTTCCATTTCTTCAAAAAGCTTCTTGGCTTCATACAGCATCCCACCCTTAGCATATGTATTAACCATGGCACTCCCCACATATACATTACCCATATAACCCGATTTTAGGACATGGGTCATTATTTGTTTGCTATGAGAAGGACACCCAGCTATTAAACTGGTAAATGTGTATTGGTTTGGTTCCATACCAAACTTCTTCATCTCTGAAAAAAGCTCAATCAAAGAACCATAATCTGAAGATCGTGAATATATTGAGATCATAGTGTTCCAAGAAATCAAATTTCTCAGCAACATCTCATCAAACACTTTACGAGATAGGTCGATCTGATTGCAGCCGGCATACATACCCATAAGAACATTGCATACCACTATGTCATGGAACCACGGCGACCCTGCAATGAGCCCATGAACTTGTCTACCCATTTGAATGTTAAGCGAGTCCTCGCAAGCTCTTAATGTAATACCAAACGTGAATTTGGTGGGTTCGAAGCCTTCTCTTATCATTCTTCGAAAGAGACCTATGGCTTCATAGGATAGGCCATAGCGAACGTGCCCTGTGATTATGGAACTCCATGATACAGAATTCCTGAAGGGCATGTTCTCGAATATTTGTTGAGCCTGTTGGAGTCCACCATTGTTTATATATGTGTTGATGATGGTGTTGCAGAGGAAGATGTCTTGAGAGAAGCCACTCGTGATGGCTTGGAGATGGGAGAGATGGGCATATCTTAGTGTGGTGCATGAGGTGAGGTTGTTGACAAGGGAGCTGTATAAGTGATTGTCATTGTCTTGGGCTGAGGATGAAGGCCTATGAAAAGTGTTTATGGGTTGCAGTTGCAGTTGCACCTTCACCTTCAGCTTCAGCTTGGGTTTGGCTGCGTTGTTAATGAAGCACCGTATCATAACAGGAGGGGTTGGTGGGGGAAGAGAAGAGAAGAGAAGAGAGTAGCCCGATCCAGAACGGATGCTACTAACCCAAACACTTTCTCTTTATATTTTAATCAAAATTTCAGGCCAAGCAAACCAACATCTCAAATATTAATTAAAATAATTTTAAGCTTTTTATTTTTTATTTTTTATTTTTTATTTTTATAATATAGTTTATATATAAATATCTAGTTTATTTATATAAAGTCCAAAACCTTCCCCCAAACCTTCTTAAACACCAAATTGTTTTACTTTTTCTCACCAAATCAAAAGCGAATCTAACAAATAAATATTATTAAAACAAATGAGGCCATCCAAAAAATGATAGAATGGAGTTAGGTGGCATTAATGTCTAACTCTTTAGCGTTCAACTTGAGTGGACTTTGATCTATAAATTAAACTGTCTACTTACTCCAAATCTCTCCTATAAACAAAAGCTTCAAGCAAAGTTCGCAGACAACTAAAATAGCATCTCTTTCTTCAAAGAATGTTTCTCAAGTGATGGAAAGTGGGTTGAGAAAAGCCTCTCACTCTGGTGATTTTTAAGTTGAAGATCTTAACATCCTAAAATTTGGTGTAATAAACAAGGAACCATTAAGGTTTAACCCAAGGGAGCCATGTAACCTTTATTTTTTTCTTTTTAAGTTATCCCTAATTTGAAGAGTTTGAACTTTAAATTTTGAGGGGAAAAAAAGAAAAACGCTTTTAAGTTGTAATAGTATAAAAGTTTCCTTCTATAGCATGTCCAATTAGATAATTAAATTTTCAAAATTTGTGATTTCAAATTTACATTTATTTAAGAAACCTTGTAATAATCCAATATATTAAGCTCCCATAAGATGCCAATACATTCCTGGTGCAAATAGATAAATTACCAAGACAATAGTAAGAGGATAAAAGTTATTATCATGAAGATTTAAAGCAAAAGGAAAATTTATCGAACTAAACCCAATATTTGACCTATTTAACTTCCTACCCATAGTTTTCGATTTAATTTCAAATAGCTTATCCTTATTTTGGCCAAATTTCGAATTGCCCCTCAAGTGACACATCAAAATGGCCTTTGAAATTTATCAAATTGGACCAAGAGTAAAATATTTAATAGTTCAACTTTTAGTTGTATTTAGATAAATTCCCCAAAATTAAAAGATACGATTATGCTCAAAATGAGAGAGGACAACAGTATAGGAGGATGTGGCTTGAGATCAATGAAGTTACTAATAGTACACTATAATCTCGGGGGTTCAAAATACTCTTGGTTTATTCAACACATTTATATTAAGGACACGGTTTCATGATTCCATGTAGAAATGAGTCGCCCCTTAAAAATCTATTTTTGAGATGGATTTTTTGACCTAATTTTTAAGGACAAGTAATTTCATGGAGATCATGAATATAGAAAAATAATTAAAAATTAAAAATTAAAAATTAAAAATAATAATTCTATTAAGAAAATATTTGGACTATTAATTTCAATGGTTTTTAGATGGACCACCCCACCTATTTGTATCCATATTTAAGATTTGTGCTTTATACCACAGGTACCTCAATGTGATCCCCGCCGCATGAAACAATTTTCCTTATCTTATTTTTTCTTAAAAATAAAAGTTTCATAGTCATTGTTTCGATTTTATATTGTAAAAGAACTGTAATCCCCAATATTTTGCTTTAGAGTTTCCCATTTAATTGGATTTCTGTTTTTTATTTATTTCTAAGTTTCCTCTATTGGATAAAAATGAGTGTTTATCTCATTTTCGTTGCCTCAGAAGTTTATATGTCATCATCACCATTTTCGCCTTGTCCCAATTAATTGAGGACCTCATAAATATATATAAAATCGAAAAAAATTCTTTTCATTATTTAAGGACCATCACAACAAATTTAAATCTACTTTCTTTAGAACATCAAGATGTGACCATGAATGTGGAGGGGAGCACATAGAAATCCCAGAAAGGAAAAAACAATTGTCCATCTTCCTTTGGGTTCTCATTTTCCTTTTCTTGTCCCAGATCATTAGATTCTTAGTAACAGTTGCTGGTATACAAGTGAATGCTCTTAATGCAAGAGGACATACACCATCTGATGTCTTTGATGAAGACTCAAGGACTCCATACGATCGAGAAATACTAGAGGTGCTGACAAATGCAGGATGTAAAAGAAGGCAAGAATTACAACAATCAATGACTCCCTCACAAGAAACAATTCGGCTGCTAACCAGTAGGTCATCACCACGAAGGAGATTAGAATCAGTGAGAATAAGAGACTTGGAAGTTCACAAGAGTGTGATCATAGAGTTATCGGTGCTAACTGCGAATATCACATTCCAAGCTGGGCTTAATGCTTATAGCAACCTTGGGCATGATACTAGTTCTTCTGGTTCCAAAAGATTACTGGTTAATTATTATCAGTTGAATCATCTCTTCATAGTTTGCAATACAGTATTCATCCCATGGCTGCTAACGACTGTGAGATGCAAACTTCTTATGAGAGTGATGGAAGGTGTAACTTGGCTTTCTATATCCTTCATTGCCATGTCTGTCTTCATTGGCATTTCCGTCCTTATCAAAACATAGACCGAAAGTCGGTCTCACTCCCAAGGGTTAGGATCAAGGGCTGGTCAAGCTAGCTCTCGCTTCCTCCCCCTACAGGTCTCAAAAGCAAGGGACAAGGGCCTGCTAAAAAGAGACATCCGTTACGTTTTTGTGATACCTGAATGTGATAGTCTTGTCAATAATTTTTCCCTTAATAACTTACTTGAGTTTCGATTATTTACTTTTGGATCAGCCAAGGGGGAAGGAGCTCTTATTCTGGTCTGAATTCCAATTTAGAAAGCTATTGAAAACTATCAATCATGTCTAATTTCCTCATGTAATGTAAGAGTGTCTTTGTGTTCCATATCTCAATCCTTCTCTATTGTGATGTTTTACTGTCAACTGTGTATCATAAATTTAACAGTCAGGAAAATTGTCTGGTGCGGCCAAGCCCGCACGTGTTATTATGCGGACCGGAGATCTATACCATCCACCAAAACCGGGTCCCTTATGTAATAGTCCTCCAAAGAAAAAATACAATCAACGGTTCAGATATTTTCTCCAAAAAAAATACCATTTCTAGTTTTAAAAATTTATTTATTTTTACAGATTAATAGTCTCCATGTTTTAAAATTATATATTCTATAAAAATTAGGATCAAATTCTATTTCAAAAATAAATCATTAAGGGGCAGATTTCCTACTTGTCAGCCCATGGCCTACGTGCTAACCGCGTCTTAATTGTTATGGTACATCGTGCTTCGATCAGTTGTTCTTGTCGCTTGGTCCCCTTGTCAAATAGTCACGACCAGTGTAGGAAAAATTAGGCGGTTTAAATTCGTTTCGTCGCCTTGTCAAATATTCACGACCAGTGTTGGAAAAATTGGGCGGTTCAAATTCTAACCGCTAGGTTAGATCGGAATCGGCCATTGGCCGGTTCAAGTTTCCGCTAGTTTTGGTGAACCGACCATATATTATTTAAAAAAATAAAAATATATATAAATTCTCAAAAAATAAAGTATTCTGTTTGTAAAATTTTACCACTATAGTTTGATTTATTTCATAATATTCATCAAAAGAAACGTGATTATGAGTTGAAATAGTTGTAAATGTATAAGATGCTAAATGGTACATCTTTCATGCGTATTTTAATAAACTTTCGTAGTTTCTTGAGGAAGGATATCTTCAAGATATTAGTCCACATAATTGAAAATACGGCTGCTGTTTCATTATTTTCAATTTTAAGTTTGTTTTATGAAAAAAATTGACGCTCGTTATCCTGGGCATGGAACCATTCTATAACAGCTGTTCTAGGAAGAAAATACTTGTTCTATTTTTTTCCCCTTTTTTATTTTTGTTTTTTTCTCAAGTTCTTGAAAATTGACATTCTTTTTTAATCTCAACTTCCTATTTTGAATTTAAATGAACCACATGGCTGAGTGGAGTCAAAGACCATTCAAAATCAATTTGGCTTTGGCCCAATGGCTTAACACCATGTTTGAGGTCTATTTTCAACCTTTTAATTTCACTCCATATGCAAGTCTTGCCTTCCTTTATTGTTGGACAAAAAGTACAGTTTCATGGCTAATTCTAACCAAAAATCATCATGGAGATCACTCTCACTCTTGATTAAAGAGTAACTTCGTTAAATTTATCTGATATGTATATGATTTTTTTGTTATTTTTCGTTCAAGGAGATCACTCTCTCTTGACCATTAGATTTAAAATTAAGTGCCTAGGGGTGAACATTTACTGGATCGAAGTCCCAAAAAGAGTTTCCCATTTGCACACGTCAAATTTATCAAATATGATGTCCAACAGGTAAAACCACTTATTACCACTCAGCACTAGTACTATAGAATTGCAATATAACATACAACTCGAAAAAAAAAAGATTATGGTTAGGGCAATGGACTCGACCAGATGTAGGACCCAATGGGTAGACCCGACCTTAAGTCAGAGTTGGGTTCAAATTTTGGACATGAAAGGTTGGATCTGGGTCTAAAACCTGGACTCAAGTACTATTTGTTTCCAATACATTTGTTTCTTAAGAATTTTCAGTTATTACCTTGAACAATACAGAATATGGGTGTATGTGGGTATACATAAATGTTGTACAATACTGTAAATTTGTTGCCAATAACATGGGTATATGATGCTAAAAGAAAGACAAAAAAAAAGAAGTTCATAATCATAGGGTGGCAATCGACCCGACCATACCCGATAACCGATAGGTAGACCCAACCTCACATATATAGGTCCAAATTTTACACCCGAAAGGTTCGGGTCTACTCAGGTTCGGGTCTGGGTCCAACCGGACTCGACCTGTTGCCATCCCTAATAATGTTCTCCATATTTTGTCATTTCCCAGTGATTTCTTGACAAGAGAGAATGTGTTTCGGCGGGGGAGTGGGAGATTATTGTAGTCAATAATGAAGGACATAATTGGACGTGTTTCTTTGGGTGCGAATGGTGTGTGGAGTAATGCACTTTCTTGGGAGAAAATGCCAAGAAATTGCGACTG